TCTTCTTCCTTTTCTCCTGCCAATTACATAATTTAGTTAAGGATTCTAAGATGAGAGCTACTCGACATGACATCATGAGCCATCTGTAGTATACTGGAGATAAGAGCGGCAAGTTTTTCTCAAGATTTAGCAGCCACGCAAACATCTCCAAACCCCAGGACGCCTATGCTGATTTCTGCCAATAAAACATTCAGAGATGTTAGCTAATTACTTGCAAATTGCATCTTTCTTAATAAACGAGCAAATACACTTATGAAGCAGTCTCTTTCTTCCTGGCTTGCTCAGTTTCTCTCTCTCCCTCCTTTTCATTGCTGTGAGTGAAACTGTCCAGAAACTGAAGAGAGGTTAAAACTTTGTCCTTCTGCCATCATGCTTCTCACTACGAGATATCATGCTGCTAAAAGTCCTTCCAATTTCTTAAAGAGAAAAGGAGCGAGATGGAGGGATAAGGTAGAAAAGTGCTGAGTGTGAAAGTTTGAAAAATGTGTTATCCGCTACACTGGTCATAGCCCAGCTCTTCGCTCTGACAGAAACACTGACGTTCTCACACCAAACCCTACCGGTCTCTGCAGAAATCTCAGTTAGTGGTGACAGAACTTGTCTGAACATCTTCCACCATGGCATCTTGATGTGCCTTTGATAAAGAGATAGAGCCTCACAGCTTTTGCTGAGAAGCGAGACAGGCTTGATGTCTGATGACATATATGAGTTTAGCCACAACCCCAATTCGTGAGCTGAAAGGCTAGTTTGTAATGACCCCTTAAAAGACATTTTTGGATATTGCATAGGAAATAGCATCACTCCATTTATAAAAAGTTAAACTTTGTAGTCTCTTCAGTTTAAGACACATTTCTGATTTTATTTGACGGCGTTCCCTGCATATACAGTCTCAGTCTTTTCGCTCTTAAAGTAATTGTTCACCCAAAACTCCTAGTTACAAACCCATATGCAATTTTTTTGTTTTTCTATGAAACACAAAGTGATTGAGTTGGACTAATTTTACGATGTTTGTTGTTTTTGTTTTGTTTTTTTGGACTTAACATCTGTGGTCTCTTTACAAAGGCGGCATAAAAATTAAAAAATTATGTTTCAGTTACACAAATACACAGCATGTGGGTTTGGACCAACATGAAGGAGAGTAAATAATGACTTTCGTTACTTTAA